TTCACTGTGTCTGACGGGGGCTTATATGGATTCAGACAGTTATCGTCTTATTGATCCTTTAATGGATCTATGTTATTTGGTAGACCAATTATGGTTATACCTAAAGTGAGTAAATCGCTCATTCCGACTATAATGTCGTACTTCTGTGACATCTTAACTATCACAGCTTGGGTAGTGATACTCCTATCATCGGCCAGGTAGATTTTAACATCTGTGGCCATGGTATCACACTTAGCAGTTTTATCATCAGCTAAAATGAGGTGAGTTGTTTGTGTTCTCCTTCCGATATCTTTCATTAATGCAAAGCGATCGGATATATATGAAATTTCTGAACCAGGATCAATCAACGCAAGGATTTTGTTTCCATTGCAGTATACAGGGATTATTACACGCTCATCTAAAGAGTCGTTGTATTGTCTGTGTGACGATTGTACCTGGTAGTACCTTCACTCCAACTTAATGTTGGGCTTTTTGTCACAAGACTTAGTGTGATAGCCATTGGTCTTCTCACATTTGTCGCACTTAATAAGAAAGTGTGTACAGGTGGATGCATGTCTGCCATTCCAACAACCGTTAGGGGTTAATTGGTACATGTCATACCCACACTGTGCGTCGGCACATTTCCTTATCACCTTGAATGGAGGTTTCATGTCCTTCGTTCCCGCGCGTGCCCGTTTATTGGGTCGCGTTGATTGAGTGGAGTCGCGAGCACGTGTATGTTGGGGTCTCTCGTTTGAGGTCTGCCTGGATACGTACCCGTGAACAGCCGCTTTCCCCTTCGATGTTACTCAATGTGCGGGGAAAAGGATGGATACAGTATCATAAAACTGTTCCCACGTAAGTCGGGATAGATAAAACTTTGTTTCATGTCCCTTGTCTCGAGCCTCAGTCGCGTGTTTACGTCGCAACTCGGTGTACAGACTTTCACGGCCGTTGTTCACTATGTTCTTACAGAAAACATGCATAACCAGGAACTCGTACCATCGCTGAGCCTTGTCCTTTGTTATATCTAGAAGTTTCAGAATATAACTCTGAATAGGAGTATTCTCAACTGGTTCAGTTAAGATTGAACTCGGTCCTGGACTGCGCATGTCCTTGCTTAATAAGGACGTAACCAACCAACACACATCTGACCAGTCACGACAAGTGTCTAGCTCATGCTGGTGTCGCTGCAGGATCAAGTAACTTGTACCTGTAGGGTCAGACGTCTGCATTAAAGCAGAGATCCATTGCAGGGGAGCGATATCATTCGTCTCCAGCATGACCGTAAACGCATTAAGCGTACGGATTAGCGTGTCGAGACCATGATTGGAACTCGACCTGCTTACTGTTGGCATCCCAGTTCGACTTAAGTCGACTGATTTGTCCCTTGTACTTCTGGTTGTCCCTGTGGTCTTGTTCACGTTGAGTCTGAAGTAACTGATCAATGCGCTTTTGCTTAATCGCAATCATATTTGCAAAGTATGCTACATCATTAGCATGATGCGCATTGTGGGCGATTTCCATTTTAATGGTGTAATCGTGGACCGATTTGTTAAGTTGGGTCACCTCGTCAGAGTAAAAATCCTTTGCGGGTTGATGTAGTGCTGTGCGATCGAAGCGATTAAATTCGACTTCGATAACACGTTTATGGGAGTGGTTATTACCCCGTGTAAAGTCCATGGTCGAGGTCTTTCGGTGCTCTGTTCCTTGGATGGTAGTTGGTATTATAATCATGGGTGGGTCATGCGTCTGGATGACATACCCAGTCTTAACTGGTTCCCGACGATTGTCATCCCAGTTGGGTAAAGGTGGCGTAGTGTTTCTACCTGCCTCTGGGTCTATAATACCCTCAAGGACAGGCTACTCATGGCTTGGTGAAAGAACAGGCGAATAGAGTTCCTGGACTTCTGGTGGTAGCTCCTCGTAAGGTATAGTTACGCTGAGTCCATCTGGGTCAACTGCCACAGGTTTGGTGTTCAGGTCCTTACGCTTTTCGGGCGTAATTGCCTGTCGACGTTCTGTCCACTTCTGTAGGGTTTCAGTAATGCGCGGAGAAACATGCTCGCGTAAATGCTGTGTATGTTTTCCTGATCTATACATTCGATCTACATGTTCAACAGTCAAGTCTTTCATAAGGGCGGCTAACTGATTCTTAAGGTCAGTGTTTTCAGTAGTTAACTTACTTATGCGCGTTGGCTCAGTGGTCTCGGACGTAGATTCGGGTTTGCCACTTGAGATTGCATCTTCTTCTGGTTCCGTTATAGGCACCTTCTGAAATTCGTCTTTGTCCCCTATAATTGGGAACTCCCTTATTATTGGGGACTTTCCTTTCGGATTTTCATCAGAAGAATTGGTTGGGGGCGTTTTGAGACGTGTCCCTTGTTTCACTTTTTGGCTTTGTAAATGCAACCTTGAAATATACAAAACATAAGATTTGGTCTAGTTCTATTAATAGAACTATATTTACTTTCCAAATCTATTTATATACGAATACTTCGGTAGCGAGATGGCTCAACCGAACATAGGCTTCTAGGGACTATTAGCGTTGCTTAGTTTATCTTCCGTTCAGCCAACCAGATGTGCCAGTCTGATGAAGGCTAAGTCGGTTATTTTTGATAAGTGGCAAGTTATTAGTTAATGGACATCATGAGTAGTTTCCCTTTTTTTTTCTATTCTTTTTTTTCTAAAGATATAATTTTATGAGTCTCTCGGATTCGCCCCAACGAAACATACCATAGTTTCTAATAGGGCGACAACGGAACACTAAATCTATTCCCTCCAGCGAAAACATTTATATGAGGATTATTTATAGGCAATGTCTCGGCCTCACAATTCCTCAGAGTATTGCTGGTTTCACGAGGCATACCTAACTTTACTAAAAAACTCATTTCGTTTATTTACTTCAATTTTTACGATACTTAGAGTTAACCTAAGCGTTTAAATACTCTAAGGCGTTAATATCGCCTTGATAGACCAAATCTTACAGGAGAGGATGAGTTGCGGCTGTGTCAGTCTGGATACTGGCCTCGTTGGTGGTGAGTGCTTCAGATTGTAGTACATCACCATGGGGGTGTAGAGCAAGTGTCAGTTGTTCACATATAGTCCGTATATATTGTATGTCGTTGGTGAAGTGAGGAACCGGCGTAGTTGCCACTAAAGTCCAAATGGGAAGGCGTGATAATTAAACTTAACATCGCGAGAATGGTGAATGCTGGGATTGCCAATCATATCCAAGGTATACGCCTATATTCACCTTGCCGTCGCGTGTTTGGTTTATAAATGTGCCAAAGACGTGCATGTGTGTCAGGCGTTTAGTAGGTTAAGTACCCCAGAAGACTTTACAAGACGACTTGTTGTCTTTGTTGTGTTTATTGACGTGAACGGATGTTGTGAGTGTGGCGTATTGTAGTGCTTCATCCCACATACAATCTGGCAAACCTATTTGTTTCATATCGGATAGCATGAGCTCGTGAATAGTATCGTTGTGGCAAAGTACCGTAGGCGGATATTTAGGACCGGACCTGAGAGATGAATTTAGGACCGGACCAGAGGGCCGGATCTACTACAAGATTACTTGAGGACCGGACCACAGAGGACCGGACCTAAGGGATTATTTGAGGACCGGACCAGAGGACTGGACTGATTGGTGGAATAGAGAGTTTAATGAGATATAATTGATGACTCATACAAAATCATAGAGACGGATATTTTCACATAACCCGATGGTAGAGAAAGTCTTGTTCCACATAGGATTGTGATTAATAAATATAGCAGGCGCGTTATCCCCAATGGCACTTCTGACTGAGTTTACTTATTTTAGATTTAACACTCTTTAATAAATGTTATTTAAAACCCTAAAAAGCTATGGAGCTGGGGTGTATTTTTGGGTATGTATGTGACAACTCGGACGTGTTGTAATGTATTGATTCTGTTGCATTCTTTGGACACGAATTTGTCGCCACGGTCACACCTGAGTTCTCGTAGGTTGGCCAGATAATCTTTGCCAATTTCTGTATAGAAAAGGTGTAATTTATCACTAGAGATAATATTATTTATTTCATAAAAGATAAGTTACAAAGTATCACTAACAGAGGACAGACATAAGGTTGAGCATTATCAGCATCTACATTTTTGATGTTGCATATATAACCGGATGGTTATGTGAGTAGTCCGGTATGAAGGTCGACATGAAGTATAGGGATAATTCAAGTATAGTACCAATTGGTGGGAGCGTAGCCGTGCCCTTTTGTTGGCACGGTACTCGTCGTTGTCGCATCTTGCCGCGTGCACATGGACTACAAAAGGTATGCGCACGTGGATGAATGATAGAATCAGCTTCAGCGTCCAGTAATATTTCCACCGTTTTCAGTGCTGCCTACTTTCGTGATGCAAATGTATCGCCATTTAGGGAGACCAGTAACTGTATTGCCACGCTGAAGGAAATATGAAATCTGCTGTAAATATGAGACCTACCGATTAATTAGTACCGAAGGTTATCGAAGTCACTAAATGTTTTTTAGAGAAAAAATCTAGTCAACGCCACTTTTGATCACGTTATTTATTATATTTAATTTTGAGGGAGCTATGGGGTTTCCGCCTTCTAAAATATAAAATCAGATATGAGATATCAAATGTTTGTTGCTTTTTCTTTTTGTGATTTTTGTAACAAAAAAAAATACAAAAAACAAAACAAAGGAGGCTGTTTCTAAATAAATACATATCACTCTTGTGTAAATATTTAATTAAAAACAATATGCTGTGATGCCGTGATGGGTGTGTACGTAAATTAAATTTTGAAATATCGTAAATCCTAAATATACTTCACAGGGGGATGACGCCTTCCGAAATAAACTCTAGAGTCTGGCTGGACTGTATGTACATACTTACTACTTTTTTTTAAGCACAAACTGGTATTGAGGAGGAGAGGGTAAAATACAGTGGTCAAATCTTCTGTCTTTTCCAGGCGTTACAGTAGACTATAATAATCTTGCAGATGGTCAGGTGTTAGTCAATATATTATGATTCGCAGTGCGAAGAAAGTAGAGCATAAGCTAAAGGCTTTGCTATCGCCCTCGCCAAGGGCTTCAGTCCGTCACCAGCCTGCAAATATAATGGATGGCGAAGACTATACTGATAGCGGCATCGTTCAGATTGACTCCATTACCCGCCAGCAGAATGTCACTAATAGAGGTAAGCGAGATGCACGCGCAATAGCGGGAAAAAATTCGTTGCCTATGCCGCTTTCGAGTAGCTCATCGAAAGAACCAAACGATAAAAACATATCACCAACAGCCCACCACCACACTCACCCGGATACGGTGCAATCGGCAGACTTGGAAGTTCACAGTCCGGTTGAATACGAGACCCCTGTGGGAAGGTTTAGGGTTTCCAGCCCAACTATACTTAGTGATGCTAGCAACCCCGTGACAGCTAGTCTTAGCACGGTAGCTGACGAAGTAGTTTCGACCGTCAGTGCAGCCGTCGGAAATAGTGACAAGGATGTCAGTGAAAATCGCAAGCATAGCTTTACAGAGAAGGGAGAAATAGAGTGTGTAGATAGTGATAAGCACTTTGTGGCCTCTCGACATTCATCGAGAGGATCACGGTCTACAACCCCTACATATACACACGTAAGCACAGCTACGTCGCATGTACTGTCAAATAGTTACGAAAATACAGTTGCATACAAATCAACACAAGCACAAGCGCCCGCATCGCCAGTACAATTCGCGAACGGCCGTTTCTCGGTTAAAGAAACCAATCCAGCGGACAGCCCTTTGCTAGGTGCTATCGCACATCGTGCTCGCGGAGAAATCAGCAGTGAGCTGAGTACTGGAGACCACATTCTTGCTTTTCCCGTTGAAATTGATAGTATAACTGACTTGAGAGGAGCTGAGCACTCACGTAGCAAAATATCTAAAACCACCGGCACAGTGTGTAGTGGTATAGAGGTGCCAGAAGCGAATGAGAAAAAAAGTGGTACTACAATGAAAGGTGAGATACAGGAGACGAATACAGTAAGTAGAAACACGAATGTAGAGAGAGTGGCAAAGACTGGCCCGGGTGTGAATTTTCCGACTGGCTCAGGCGAACGAACAAGCACCTCACAAGGCCGGTTTTCTGTGAACAATTCAGACCTTTCAGGGGATGGTGTGAGCCCCCTTTTACATAGCAGGACAAATAGTACCGCTTTGAAAACAAATTTGTCGCAAAGCCGCTTCTCGGTGAAGGACGCTGAGTTGCAGGACACATCACACCAAGCAATCATGGGTGTAGTGAGGGAAGTTACGCAAGAGTCTGACGGTAGTCCTTCTATGCCGGGTGGGAGAAGCAGATATAATATCAGCGGTGTACCTGATGAAAACCACACGCAGCATTTACTACGGGCGAGTTGTATCGAGGGTGCGCACGCTACATCTAGCATGGAAGGCGAGCGTGATAGTGTTAACACTCCGGTGGGCAGATTTAACGTGACAAGTTCGAGCGCAAATTCATCTACATTTAGTGTCAGATCAGTAGATTCTTCTATTGCATACGACGAAATAAGAAAAGTTGTCAAGGGTACAGGGGATGAGCGTACTGTACCTGATGGTCAAGTAAACGACCAACTGAATACAACTGTGCAGAACGAGAATGAAATTGGACTCTCAACAAATATTGTTGAAAAATTGGTGGAGAACACAGACAGCACATCAATAGGTCTCAGCGAGGACATGACTATAGATTCAACAACTGACAGGGCGTGCTCACCTCTAGGCAATTCGGAAAGCGATGCCTCTGTTGGCAGATTCTTGGTCTCAGACATCAGCGCAGAGGCAGAACTCGATGTTCAAACCTCGAGTGCTCCAGAGTCCACTTTATCTCGAAATCGCCCGAATCGATTCTCGGTAAGAAAATCTAGTATGATTACAGAGCTGAATGGGCAGACTAAAGGGGTTGAGGATAGGATTATGCTTGATTCACAAACGGTACATGATTCCCAAGTTTCTATCAGAAAGCCAGCTAATGATATTCATGCTGACCAACAAATAGTAGATCACCATGGTCACCCAGCAACTGAATCGAATACCAAGAAGGCGGAAACCCGATTTCAAGTCACAGATACTATAGAGGGTAGAGAATCATTTAGAACAATGTCGCCGCCTGGATCATATTACCGAAACGATGGTGCAACACAAAGCACAGTTGCCAGTTCCCGCGCACGTGAGCACTCCGATGCAGGTGTAGCTGCACGTATTGAGCGCGTGGACAGGTTTTCGATTCGACGAGTTAACAGTGGTGTAGCGGTGGGCCCCTGCGAGGGGGAATGAGGGATGGCATGTTTAGATACACATACCTTATTCAAATTTCACTGGACTCTCACGTAGAAGGCTACAAATTTTATTCGAGCATTTAGCGGCAGAACTCCTTCGACCGATGAACTCTTGATCCACAAATGAACAAATAAGGAGTTCATAGATTTGCATCTACGTACTTCACGTGTGACTTGCAATCTGAACAACACGTGGCAAATTTTTAGCGCATAACAGACGTCCTTGTGAGCCTTATAAGCCGGATCAAATAAAGGCACATCCACATATGTCAGAGTCGTTATATATGTATGTATGTTTACGTTCACGCTTCTGAAAAATACATGTTCGGGCAAACTACACAAAATTTTTGCAAAAGAATACACGCTCAAAGCATCCTTGTATATACATATATGATTATATGCTTGTACATATGCAGGCGACAACAAAGACATGTAAGCAAATCGTCATGTAAGTAACTGTATAAAGTGTGTATTCATGGATATTTTCACAAAACTAAAATTCTTTGTATACAAAGTCGAAAATTCATACCCACCTACTTCATAGATCTGGATAGATGTTCATACGTAAATATACACGAAAGAACCCGTGAATGTGCTTTAAATGTGCACTACTTCTCCCTTGTCCTCAATATATAAATATATATGTATATATATATATATATATATGTATATATATATAAATATATATACACACAAACACACACATACACACACACACACACACACACACACACAC